CGTGCGTCCCTTGCATTGCACTGACCGAGTGACAAGGCAACACTTGATTGACAGTAAGAACACGTACCAGCTGAATTACAGCCTTGTTTGCATGTGTATTTTTAGGGTTTTTTGGAACATAACTGCAAAATCACATCTAGATGAGATTTAATTATCTCACATCTAAGCTCAAAACTGTCCGATCAAATTTCTCTGATATTCGCGCAACGTTAGTCGCGACGTGCGTGTCTGTCGAGTTGATGCGTCAGCTGATCCTATTTGGCGCATAGTTCACTGTGGAGCGACCGCGCGTACCCTCTCCCCCAATCGTTCGCACAGTCGGACGGCCCATACTTCGGGATTTTTGGGTTAAACAAAATTATGCTAAGTTTATGACCTGAGCATATACCCCTAATATATCGGTCTTCATATATCCAGAAGTATTGGAGTAGTTCAATATGGATATATTATATCGATAACACATATGGTCATATTATTCCTAATATGGGATACAAATCCTTGAGACATAGGGAGATGGTGAAGTGATAGTGGGGCATAAATTGCCATATCTAAATACCATCGAAGCACTCATATATCTTGCAAAATATGTCATGCCAGTTTTTGGCAATTTACACAGAGTGCAATTCCCCGAAAGGTATAACATTTGTGTAAGGAATATCCTTGGATATATCCAGGGCACAAAGGGTCTTGATCAATTTCATTCGGAAAATCAAGATGGGGCCATGGTTTGATATATTGATAGTGGCTAATTATCTGATCCCACAATGTCATATCAAAGACTAGGTTTGCTGGAAGAGTATTTTGAAGGAAATATTCATAATAGACTCTAAACGAGTCCTTCCAGTGATCATTCTATTTTATGAAGCATCAGAAAATGTGGATGACTTCATAGAATGATTGGCCACATGTGATATCATGTGGAGATTATCATTATCTACCAAGATAATGTCACTTATATTGCTTATGGGTTATATTTATCTTTGTGAATTACAGAAATGTAAGAGGATAATATGCAAACAAATTATTATGATATTCACAATATCTCTATCAATGTTTATATTCCAGAACTAGGTTTGTCGAATTGGTATGAGATATTCTTGCGGTTTGCAAAGTTCAGGGGGAGTAAAATCCCAAGTTATAACCCGTTGGTGATCCTCAAATCACTCATATTGTACTCTTTTTTCCTTTATGAGTTTTCCATGGTGGTTTCTCATATAAGGTTTTTAACGAGACAATATAAATACAAGTGCGGATATATGTCATATTGGTTTCTCCTTATATTTTCCCACTGAGTTTTAAAGGAGTTTTCGATGGCATATTATTATAAGGTTTCTCCTCAATTTTCGCATAGGGTTTTTGAGGAAGTTTTCAGTTTGCAATATACATATGACGAATTGATCAGGAAAGGGGGGGGGGGGGTGTTGAGAAATAAAAACATGTGATCAATTGTATGAGGGATGCCTTTTAGGAGGTGTCTGTTGGGGAAGAGATGTCTTCCAACACACCCCTTCAGCATGTATATAAGTGGGTCTCCCACATTGCAATAGATTTAAGAGGATCATTTGTGTTTCTTCTTTGTCTTCTTTATTTTGATACTACAACACCAATGACACGCCTTTCTGGAAGAGTATGATGAGCGTTAAAGAGAATTTCCCAACCAAGGGCGGTTTGTCAATTACTACTAACAATTACTTCTAGGAAGACACGTGCCTTGGTGACAATCCATTATGCCACCAATATTACGTAACATCTTATATTTGTGAATGGATGGAGTAAGATTTTCATGTGGTACGTGTTGGTTAACAAAGTACAACCTCGGTCGCCGCAATTGGCAGGGAAGCAAGAAGTGTTCTCTCACTAATAGAAAAAAGACCTAATATGAAGCATATTAGTCCCGGTTTGTAACTGAACCGGCACTAATATGATCATTAGTGCCGGTTCGAACGGCTCTGCATTAGTGCTGGTTCGTGTCGAACCTTTAGTACGGTTCGTGCCACGAACTGGTACTAAAGGGGTGGTGGCAGGCTGGCGTCAGGCCGGGGCCCCACGAGCCCCATTAGTACCTGTTTGTGACACAAACTGGTACTAAAGGGGTCT